TCTTCTGTCTGGTAATAGCATAACGGTGTTCCCTTGTGTGAGGTCTTTTCACTTCAGTTGTACATTTGTTTCATAGACCAGTAATTGATCGTTTTTTTGTTTGTTTGGGGTTTTTTTGGTTCTATTTCTGCTTAACTACTTTGCAGATATTAATTGTTTCAGATAGACAGTAAGTTTCTGAAGTGAGAATATCATGTTTTCTTCATTTTACAGATAGGAGGCAAAAATATTAATCTAGGTCCGCTATTCAGATTCTTGGCTTTTAAATCACTTTGTGGGCTGGGTTTTTTGAGGTTTTTTCTTTCAATTGTCTTTCACATAAGCTCATGTCAATAATGAATACTTAGCAGCCAAGATGAATTAGGAACAGGTTGTTTCCAATTGGAGACTCCAGAGCAAGAGAAGAAGGGTTAGGAAACAATTCTGGAAATATATTTGTATCATAGAATCATAGAATGCTTTAGGTTGGAAGGGACCTTTAGAGATCATCTAGCCCAACCCCCCTGCAGTGAGCAGGGACACCTTTAGCTAGATCAGGTCGCTCAGAGCCCCATCCAACCTGACCTTGAATGTTGCCAGGGATGGGGCCTCCACTACCTCTCTGGGCAACCTCTTCCAGTGCTTCACCACCCTCATTGTAAAAAATTTCTTCCTTATATCCAGTCTAAATCTATTCTTCTTTAGTTTAAAACCATTATTCCTTGTCCTGTCACAACAGGCCTTGCTAAAAAAATTGCCCCCATCCTTCCTGTAGGCCCCCTTTAAGTACTGGAAGGCTGCAATAAGGTCTCCCCGCAGCCTTCTCTTCTCCAGGCTGAACAACCCCAACTCTCTCAGCCTGTCCTCGTAGGAGAGGTACTCCAGCCCTCAGATCATTTTGGTGGCCCTCCTCTGGACCCGCTCCAGCAGGTCCATGTCTGTGCTGAGGGCCCCAGAGCTGGACGCAGTGCTCCAGATGAGGTCTCACCAGAGCAGAGCAGAGGGCCAGAATCACCTCCCTCAACCTGCTGGCCATGCTGCTTATGATGCAGCCCAGGATTCGTTTGGCTTTCTGGGCTGCAAGCGCACGTTGCCGGCTCATGTCCAGCTTTTCATCTACCAGTACCCCCAAGTCCTTCTCGGCAGGGCTGCTCTCAATCCCTTCGTCCCCCAACCTGTACTGATACTGGGGGTTGCCCCGTCCCAGGTGCAGGACCTTGCACTTGGGCTTATTGAACCTCATGAGGTTCACACAGGCTCACCTCTCCAGCTTGTCCAGGTCCCTTTGGATGACATCTTGTCCTCCTGGTATGTCAACTGCACCACTCAGCTTGGTGTCATCTGCAAACTCGCTGAGGGTGCACTTGATCCCACTGTCTATGTCATTGATGAAGATGTTAAACAGCCTGTATACGGGCAATCAGAACAATAATGGAATGCAAAGTCTTCATTTAAACAGTGCTTAAAAAGTACTTTGTTCCTGTATCTGTGGTTGGCATCTGGAAATATTCAAGATTGTCATTAATATTAAAGGAAAGCTCATCAAAGGCGTGAATGGCAGGTAGGTGTTCAGTTTTCATTAAAGCTCAATAGGAGTTGGGTGTCTAATACCATTTTTGGGTTTTAATAATTCTCTACAGGTTTTGAATATGAAAAGCCCTTTGACCCAGATTCTCAAAAATTTATTACTTCTGTTTTCATGAGCATGTGTGTTGATCATACGGCTATTAATCATTTAGCATGAAAGCCTGCTTGAGAATTTGCTGATTCTTCGCATCTGGTCCCAGTTATACCTCCTTCTGACTCTGATTTTGGATTTGTTTCAGAAACACAAATTATCAGAAGAGTTCTGTGAAGCCTTTCTAAGCACAGAAATCAATACCCTTAAACCAGCACAATTTCCAGTGTGGATGAGATTGTACCGATATCAAGGTGCTACTCGTTTGGTTTTTATTCTAGGAGTATCTTTACACCTTTGGATGACTGTATCCAGTCCCAGGAACACTATTTTAATCGTCTCTGTATAAAATCACCATAAAAAAGTGGAAAGCAAGCCTAGTTTTCAAATCTCACTGTGCTCATCTGGAAACACATGTCGATGTATGTGTGGGGAGGACCAGTGTTTGCCATTTTTGAGTAGCTGGAGCTCCCAATGAGTATGGCATTCCTCGGGCTGGGCATAATATGTTTGAGGTGCACAAGCTCACAGGTGCCTGCCTAAGTGGAAAATAAGCATACAAGAACAAAGTCAAGGCATGTGAGTTACTTTGGCCAGTAGTTAAAAGACTTTCTTTTCCTTCAAATTAGGCTCTGTTTGGTGTAACAGCATCTGTAGTCTCTTTAGCCCATCCATACCATCTCACCACAAGTGGGAATCCTTGGTGAGACACTAGCACAGTCAAGACATTTCTGTGCTACATGCTGTTTTGACAGAAAGTACCATGTTAATGGCTGACTACTTGAATTGTTCTTTACCACATATTTTCTCAGAAAATATTTAATTTTGTGTACTGCAGTAATGATGCTGAGTGGATAATAAGATGCAGTATGCTGCTGCTGCAGGCTCTACACCATATGTCTTCCATAACTATTGCATTTTGGGGGGCTGGTTGTTAGGGTAATTGTATCGTCTCAGTAATTCATCATCAGAGTAACTTGAAATAATACAGATATGATATATAGCAGTGAGAATGACAATGTTTAAAACTAAACAGGAAAATTGCAGTCTGAGAGCTGAAGTGTCAGAATTGTAGATTTATAAATATTTCTACATTTTCTACTTGCTAGGCTTTATGTATAAATCAAATTGTTCTAACAACACTTAAAACAGACTGTGAGGACAATTATTTTAAAGCAGAATGTGATACAAGTCATTATTTCATAGTAGTAAAGAGTAGTTGCTTCCTGCCCTGAAATGCTGGGGCAGTGAACACTTCTGTCATACCTTCTTTCCAAGCTTTTTGTTCCGTGATCGCATATATGGCATTTTGTGACATAAAAAAATCGTTTTAAGTCATGTGTCACTTCTTCCATTTAGTGAGCCACTTAGTTAGCTTTTTTTTCAGGTACACCTCAGTTGTAAATTAGTGTGATGGTGGGCCCATATTTCACTTACCTCTTTTAAGGGTCATTGCTTTAAGGATAGAAGCTGCTTAATTTTTATAGAGCAACATTTAAAAGTGCAGTAGCTCTGGTAGCATCTGTATGTATTTGCATACATAATATTGTTACAGTGAAAGTGCTATTTCTTATATGTCAACCAGGGGCATCTGGTGAACAATGATTTTTTTTTTTTCTTATTTCTGTATTGATTTAGCAAATATCTAGGTAACTTAATGGCATGAAACTGGGGTCATTTAAAGGTTTATTAAATGATCTTACAGAACTTCTGAGTAAAATGTGAGACCAAAATATGTTGCAAAATCCCTATTCATCTCCCTCTACCAAAATCCATGGAACAGCTGATTGAGGATCCCAAAACTGGGGGGGAGGAAGGTCTGTCACTGTATATTTATGGTAATAGGTCCATTTTTCAAGTGCCTTGTACTGTCTCTGGAAGGATCTTGGTGTAAAAGAGAAATGCGTACTCGGGTTTGCACTTAGGTGAGCGTGCACAGGTGCTGCAGGAAATATTGGTAACGTTTGTGGCTCTGCAGGCAACATTTTTCCTCTCTGAATAGTATGAATAGTGGCTTTGCGTAGTGTTAGGCAGCAATTTCAAATTGGATTGGTGTGTGCAAATGGGTAACACAGACCTGACCATGCTTCTTGCAGGAATCCAAGGGTCACATTTGGATGCCAGCCACCACTCAAGCCAAGTAATTATATCCTTCAAGATTCTAATTCAGGGTCCTGAATTCAAGCACGCTGTGCATTGGAGGTTCAAAAAGACCAGTCAGCTGCACATAAAGTCTTATAGAGCAGTTTGGGAAGTAAATATTGTCAGTTTATCCCTGCACTCCTACCATCTGAGGCGCCAGGAGGCTGAGTGTCAAGTAAAGGAGAAAAAATCTTTCCAGAAGCCAGCCCAGTGGAGAAGGACGAGCAGTCAAAATTGCTGGGACACTGGATTGAAAGGAAGCCCACTTTGCTGCCTGTTGCTCAGATTTGATATGAGGGTAATGAAATCAGTGTCACTTGTACAGAGTATCACACCTCGAGCTGGAAAAAAAATCAAGCATTTAGTTTAAAATCATGGGATTTAACATTATTTTAAATTCTTTCTATTAGCCTGCCAATGCAGCAGCCTGCAAGGCTTTCTGTTTTAAGCTTTTCTGTACAATTATCAGAACAGAAGCTTTTTCTAAAATGAAAAGTGGGATTTTCTTATAACCTGATGTCTACAGAACTGTGGATTTAAATAAGCAAATATCGGGAATGTTGCAAATAAATGGTGAGAACTGGCAAGAAGGAACACTGGGAATAGCTCAGTCTCCTTGCTTAGGCAGCCAGGAAAGGGAGAAGACTCTTTTATTTTATTTTATTTTTTATTTTCCTTTCTCCACAGTAGCTATGTATTTCCAGCTTTTGGGAAAAGAAGGAGAAACCAAACAGCTTCACGTTTGTCAGATGCCAGTCTATCAACAACTGCATACTGGGTGGATACACCCTATCAGACATCAGCAAAAAAATCTTTGCTTCCTTCCTTGAAGTGCCTACTTATGACTGATAACTTTGCCTGGTAGTGCTCTGATAGAGTTTTCAAGCCCCTCCTACATTTTCTACAGTATGTCAAGCACTGATGTACTGAAAGCTATAATCCATCCCTGAAAAGGGTTACCTTTCTGAATTCATGAAGGGACACAAAACCTGACTGTAAGTACTCAAGATGAGGGATGACATGAGGATGCCTGTGTCTATGGTGTGTTGTCTTGCAGTTGACTAAAAAGTAAAAAGATTTGATTACTGATGGTAAAAATTAGGTTGAATATTTTATCACTCCTCATAGAGAAAAGCAATAACAAAAAAAAAATTAAAAAAATAATTTGTGATGTTAGGTTAATGACATAATACCTGAGAGTATGATTTTAAAAATCCATATCCAGAAAGTTAACTTCTTTCATTGGAATATAAAAGATGGATTCATTCAAAGAACTCTTCTCAGACGTTTTATATTTATGTTTCCCAGGAAACATTTCCTCTGGAAGATACTAGATGGTAATAAAAAATACTGATGGATCATTAGACTAAAATATATGTAGTTACTCAATTAAACTTGGAGTTCAAATGTATCTTCTGTCCATTATGCATCCTCCCTTCACTTCCTGAAGCAAACATTTCTATTTTTACATATGCATTTCCTTACATGATTCAGAAAATCAGAAATTATTTTAATTATTTTGCATATATTTCTATAATATAGAATATTATCCTCTGCTCACATTTGAGTGAAACTGATCTCACTCATCTTAATAAAACTCAAGAAATCTACTTTTCAATAAAATCAAAGTCAACCATCAGTTACTTCTAAGACTTTGTTATCACATTCACCAGAAAGTTGTGCCTCAGGGACTGACACTATAAGATGCAAGCTGGTATGCTTGATTCCCCCGCTCTCCCCCCCCATTTGTTCACCTGTGGGAGTCACGATATTATTACTTTTCTTTGGAAGTGGTTAAAGGTTGTAAGTGTTATGAGCTTAGGTTGTCTGTGGTCTTTTCTAAAAGTACTGTTGTGCCAAATTTGCACACGGTCATGTTTGACTGATTCCAGAATTATTACTACAGAGAGCAGTAAAACCTTGCTGATGCTATAGGAAATATCATTATTCTGGAGATAGATATATATACACACTATACTAGCATAGGTTTTACAGCATTTGGAGTTGGCAGATCAGTAGCACTGGACTAGGGTCCAACAGGGAACAAATTGCGCTGTCAGCTGTCGGCTTGATTTGCATTTCACGTTTCTTGCTTGGTTCTCAGGTTCATCAGCATTCTTGGTGCTTCATCAGAATCCTGTTAAAGCCAAGGTAGAAGTATTTAGAGTACACAATTCATAAAACATGCTTGAAAATAATCCACTGGAGTTGCTAGATTACAATAGTAGCTGCCAGTGCTTTTGAAGACAAAATATTTTGAACACATGCATGCACACAAGCCTATAATGTCTGAGCAATCAAAACTCCTAGCATTTCAGAGCACATTAGGAATGTAGGATTGGAGCTAAACGTGCTTTTATTGAACTGCTTTGAGGCTGTTAATATATTTATCCTTACCCCGTGAGCCTGGACTCCTACAAGGGGTTGGACAGCAGAGGTTAAACTGTAGGCAAAGCCTACATTGCAGTTATGTGTAGGGGTACGTTAGGTAATACCAAATGAGTTTATCTGCTTGTGTGGTGCTGTGGAGAGAAAGTCACCCTGGCCTCAGGAATAGCCAAAGCACCTTCAAACCAAAAGTTTAGCTTTTCTGAAGAGCTGCTGGTTGGGACTCAGAATGTCAGGTGGCTTGTTCTGTAGGTGAATTGGAGGTCTTTGCGCTGCTTTCTCCCAGGGAGCGGTGGTGATGACGTGATGGTTGTAGCAGCATTCATAGCACCTTCTGATTTGAAGTTCAAAATCATTTCCAAAGACAGAAAACAGTGTTTACATTACTTCTTGAAATGCTTCACTCTTCTCGGGAAGGTTTGTCCTCTCTTCTGGCCTGTCTTGGAAATAATATTGGAGACTCTTCCACCTCCTACATGTCTCCACTCTGTTATTGTGGCCTTCCAAGTTCAGATTAGATAAAGGCACCGTAGGAAAAGGAATTGATTTCATTGCTATGTTCTCTCACAACCGGGTGAGATTGGGAAAAATAAAACACAGGCTAAGAACCGTAAACAGCCTGGTGGACTTCTACAGGCCCTGTGTACAGATCTAATTTTTACCAGAGGAGCTCTGAAATGATCATCTTTGCTAGTGGGCAAACATAACCTCCTAGAAATACGGGCCTGAAATGCTGTGCTGTTTCAGGTCACTGGCAAGGATGGCGTCATTCAACAGTAATGTTGACTTATTGCGGTACTTAGTAATGCATAGGCATTCCAGTAGTGCCCACCATCAGGGTGCTGAAGAGGGAACCTCTCATTCAGCATTTGTCTGAGGCCATTTCTGATAGGAAGAAAAACTTTAAGATTATTATGAATGAACAAGTGATAAAGGGAAATTTTTGCTACAGCATTATGCAACTGAAGCTGGCAAAGCGGACGTAATAATTTAGTACGCTTCAGTTTTATTAGTCTCTCCCCTTTCCGTACTACCATGTTGCTCCAAAAAGAAGGAAAAATAAAAAGCAGTTCTTTCTAATGGGCTATAGGCCTGTTATATTAAGCATCACAGGGCTGAGGGCTGATATCGGGATATCTCAGCAGGTTGCTGTATATCAGCTGATCCACAATAACTGTATGTGCACATGGTCTTAACCAATGACAAATGAAAAATAATGAGACTTCGGTGATCTTGCAATGAAGGAAGAGTACAGTGAGTCAAACTACTGCATGATTATGCAAGGGCTTAAAAAACCACTGTCTGCATACAGAGGTGCTTATTGCAACTCAGCTGATAGATGGTGACTTACTGCTTTGCGGTAGTGTCATCAGCTCTTTGGGCCCATGTACTGTCAGGTCTTTGCAAGATATTTTATTTTGTGGTTCTAAAGGGCTGTGTGCAATGGGGTTGTAGTCCACATCACGTTTAGCGTGATATTCAAAAGTCAAACTTAAATATGGGTATAATAATAAGGAAGACTTAAACTTGAAACCCAGGTTTGCTTCCTTGTTTTATGGGAAGTTACATAAATGCCCACAGGTGCTGGAGAAGTGTGAAAAAATGAAATGTGTCCTTTGAATATGGAGTTTTTCATGTTCTCAGCTACACAAATATATTGGAAATAGAGCCCCAAAAAATCACTATAGTAGGTTATCAACTATTAGGGTGACATTCTTTGCTATTGCAGCTGCGTGTTTGGTGTCTGTGCGCAGTACTTCTGTACAAATGTAGGGAATTCAGGGAAACTTGCTTTTTTCACTAAAAAGTGTGCATGTATCAAGTAAGGCTAAAGGTCTGCCTTCAAGTCTGTAAAGCATTCATTTCACTTGCCAGTACCTGGCCATTTACAAATGGTAACTTGGTAACCATTGCAGCACCACATTCTCTTATTTTGGAAAAGCTGCTGATATATTTGCCTTTTATGCCACTTCATTTTGCTTGCATCTGTCCTATTGACTCCAAGGAGGTTTTTTTTCCTTGTCATTTTTTGTTCTAAAATAATATATGTATATACATATATATAGCAAATAGGAAAGCAGGTATATAAAGTGCAGGTTATGAATAGTATAATTATGAATCACTGTAAAATTAGTCACCTTTTTTAATCCTCAAAGCCTTTGATTTCTTGAAAGTACTGTGAAAAGGTGCATATGCCATTCTCATTATATGCTTTCTTCTGCATTTCATAAATTAGTAGAAGATGAGATTGCTTTAGAGCTAGGGCAATGTTGTATTTCTTTGTATACATTTCTGTATAAAGAGAGTAAGCATATGAATGAAACAGGTGAAGCAAATAAGCTACTGCATCCATGGGAGAAAATGGGTGAATTCTATTCTGAGTTATAGCTGAACCAGTTGAAATAAAATAGAGCTACAGTTACTCTCCCAAGATAACTGGGAGATTGCTCTGCAACTCACATGAGAGGCAAAAGGAGGTGACCATGTGCTGGACGAGGTGGATCCCTTATTGACACCCTATAGGCATGGAAAAGTAGGACCAGCCAATAGAGAAATGTTTAAACAATCTGCAAGGAAAAGAAGAGGAACGTTTAGAACATGATTTAAGCAAATAAGAAAAAATACTTTTCAGAGTCATTCTGCAAATCTCAGCAGGGACTGGTCCTTTTATTGTTTTAAAAAAGATCATAGCTGAAGAGGTGATAGCATAGTGCCAGAGCGTTGAGGGACTTTCTCCAAAGGTGTTCAGCAGCTGCTCAGCTGTGTAACTGGAATATGCAAGCTATTGGAAAATGAAGTCAGGTATTTAAAAAGAGAATAGAATAAAGTGGAAGAACTCCTGAGTTCTTCGCTTGGGAGACTTCCAAAGATGAGAAGCTGCAGGATACACTTTCTAGAGAGTGGTGCCAGGGTAGTAAGAGAAAGAGGGAGCAGACGCAAAAGCTATGCAGGAGAGGTGAAGCTGGTTCTAGAAGGATTGATGTGAATGACCAAGAGTTACAAAGTGAAATGTTTCATTGTGTTTCATCTGGTAGTGTAAAAACTTAAAGAAGTTTTTTAACTCTTAAGAAGGATGTACCAGTACCAATGACATGAAATTTCACATAGAATTGCCACTTATTATGCACAAGACCCTAATCTCATACTGTGCAGTGCTTTTCTTTTTTTCTCCTTAATTCAATGTGTCCTTATTCAGCAATAGAATTGATTTTACAGGAGAAAAAAAGTATCACGAAGCCTTTAAGTTAAACTTTTAGTAGACATTAAAAGACTTTGTTAAAATGTAGATGTCCCATTAGAATGAACATCTTAATAATTAGAAGACAATAAAAATGAAAACGTGCTAATATTGCAACCACCTGGAAAATCTACAGCCTTGGTCCTGAGTCTGAATATGCGTGCAAAGTCCCCTTCGCCCTAGGTGCGCTCAGGCACAGGAGCTTACAGGCAAATCCCAGAAAAAAGGTGTCTCGGTCCTTAGTGGGAACAAGGTGCTGTCCCTGTGTCACAAACGCCTTTCACCCCTCTCTGGCTCTGATCAGGAAACTCCTTGTTAGTCAATCAGCGTGTTCTTATCTTAATGATTTGGAGCTATTACAATGTGATGCAAAAAACTCTCCATTAGAAAAAAAGAAAAATTTTCCTCCGTTGTTATCATTTGTGAAGACTCTGAGTATGAATGAGGTTTGGAGAAAGGAGATGTAGGGCTGGGCCTTGGCTTTTATAGAAAAAAAATCCTCATAGCTCTTCCAGGTGACACTGTAAGGCTTTCTGCTTTGAAAGCCTAAAAGGAAAAATGGTGTCTAATCCTCATGGAGGTGAGGGAGGGGATGAAGAAAGAAAACTTGAGCTTTCCTCCTCCTCATCTTGGTCTGAATCTCTTAGAAAAGGAGGGAACTCAATTTGGTGAAATAACTCATTTGGAATATCAATTATCCTTCAAAGAGACGTCCTGGACTTACTGAGCTGTCGGGAGGCTTGTCACTGCCACATGCAAGCCTTCAGATGTTACATCTGAGGAGGGAAGATGTTGTTAGAAATCTTTCCCTGTATGACACACTGTCTCTATTTCTTACTAAAACAACTTTTAATTAGTTGTTCTTTTTCTTCTTCCTTTTCTTTTTTCTTTTTTTTCTTTTTTTTCCTTTTTTCTTTGACTTACTGAGCTGTCGGGAGGCTTGTCACTGCCACATGCAAGCCTTCAGATGTTACATCTGAGGAGGGAAGATGTTGTTAGAAATCTTTCCCTGTATGACACACTGTCTCTATTTCTTACTAAAACAACTTTTAATTAGTTGTTCTTTTTCTTCTTCCTTTTCTTTTTTCTTTTTTTTCTTTTTTTTCCTTTTTTTTTTTTTTTTTTTTTTTTTTAAATGCAGCACCAGGGAAAAATTGGAGTTAAATTTAATGTTGGAACCGATGACATCTCTATTGAAGAGATCAACGCAATCATTAATGATGGAAAATACCATGTAGTACGTTTTACAAGAAGTGGTGGCAATGCCACGTTACAGGTGGACAACTGGCCAGTTATCGAACGTTACCCAGCAGGTAAGGGCTTACACAAATGCTTGTGAGTAAGAGGGTGGGGGATGCGTGGCTCATTTTGCTTCTCTTCTAATACAACAGTCAGCTCCTTCACAGTGTGTTAGTAGCTAATTAAGTAGTTAAAGAGTCCTGGGCAATGTGCAGTTTATGATGATGGCATTTCCGAAGTGAGTTAAAAGCACAAATTCCAGTTATTACTGGAAGTGGAAAAATACAGTTATAAAGGCATGAAATAGTGGTTTTGTTTCTTGTTTTCACTTGTTTTTATTGGATTATTGTTTTAGGGGGAAAAAAAGGCTTTGACAAAAGCTACTCAGTAAAGTGACTTCCAAATTGATCTCACCAAAGTGATGGGGTAAAACACTTACTGAGGAAAAGGTTGTCTGTATTCTTTTAATTACAAGTTGTTATTAAAGCAATCTGAAGCTTATGAATTTAGCAGATGTGTTCCAACAGGCATAAATCAAAAGGTGTATCAGTTAGTCGTACAACCAACCATCCAAATTAAGATGTCTTAACTTAAAATGCAAACTATAGGATATTACTTATGCAAGTGATGCTGGTTACTTGAATTGGACCGCTTGTGTGAATATAGAGTTGCCTTGATCAGGCCCACGTTTACTTTTATGCAAATGCCACGCACTGAAGATTACTGTGTTACTAATTTTATTCGTTTTTAAAGGCAACAGGTTTTTCAGATACGCAATCCCTTTCTTATTGAATAGGACTACTGGGCTGTTAATGGTAACTTACAAATCTGCATGTTATCTGTTAACAGTTGGTGTGTGTGTTTACATTATTAAACAAAAGGCAGCAAATCCAGAGATGTAAGTGAAAGGTATTCTGGTTTGCATATTTGCTATTACATAAATGACAGTTTTGATTTATCTCTTTAAAAGTAGAAAATTCTTCATTTTGGGGGTGGAGTGGGATGGGGGTGTATGTTTCACTAATAAGGAATGCATAAGCCATTCCCTGTACTAATTATTAGTATTTAGTATTTGGGATTTTTTTAGTTGGTGTTTGAGTTGTAGTCCAGCTGTTCACCTGACTTTTGAAAAAATAAAAATAACTCTAAAAAATTCCACAGGTGAAATAACAACCTTCATATAATTTACTGGAAATAATTTAGAATTTAAAATAAAAATTAAGTGTGCATTGCAAATGAAATTATGTATAGCAGGAGCTGTTAAAAAGTCCTGTATGCTAATGTGTTATGAAAGAGTGACAGTTCTGGCAGTTAGAAACAATTAATGGCTTTAAGTTAGACACGTCTCTGAGAGGTAATAAACTCTCGAGGGAAAAGGGGATACTGAATGGAATATGTCCTGTGATCTTTCAGATATTCCTCTTTCCCCCTTACCCTCCTTGTTTTCTAACTTTTGCAGTGTTTGGTAAAATAAACCTGTGGAAGCTGGGGAGGAGTGTGTCTTAGTTTGTGTTCAAGACCTATGTAGCAGAATGGAAAAAAATAGGTTTGGGGGTTTTTTTTGGTTTCTTTTGTTTCTTTTGTTTTTCACCTGAATGATGAGCATGAAAATGTTTTTGTTTTTCTTCTCTGTTATTTTTCTTCATGAAAATACAAGGTGGCTGCAACAAGGACAAACTGCAGTTGAGTTCTAAAGATAGTGGCACACAGACTTTGTTTATACTGAACATAGATCAATTTAGAAAATAAAGTGATTTCCTTGTGATGGGATTACTGGACTGGAAGGAGGTTGGATGTTTTCTTTGAAAAAAGAAAACAAAAAATTAGAGCTTCTTGAGCTTCTTTTAGCAATCCATGCGCAAACTGCATTCAAAGGCTTTTTCGGTTGCTTCAATAGTTGAGGTACAGAATCCTTCGGCTTGCTTTACTGCTGGATCTTCCAAGACTGCTGTTGGCCTTTAATTTTCTTTGCCATTCCTATAGTAATATTTTATGGCTCCTGTATGCCATAGCATTGCTTTTGAAATCCGTCCTCCCTCTTTTCACCTTCCGTCTCTTCTCCCTTCCCAGCATGAGAGCACCTAGCCATACCTTTCTCTTACGTTTCCATGCTGCTCCATCACATTTGGCATTCTTCATTTAAAACCATTTTAAACACTACTTTCTTCACAGGCTGGTATTGATGTACCTTTTAGAAAAAATGCAGGCTTGTTCTGAAGACTATGCTGCCTTTGAGCAAGGTTGATACTGCTCTGAAGATATTAATGGCACCATGTTCAAAGTTGTCATTCCAGTTCTAAAAGTAGTCTTTTAAAAGTGATGTCTTAAAGCTATCAGACAATACATTTTGGCAAATGCTGCTGCATCCAACTTAGATGTGCTTCTGGTGTTGCTGTTTTTAGGGACTGGCAGTGGTACCTGGCCATACTCGTTAACCAGCTAACTTGCTCTTTGCTCATGTTTTAGATGGAAGACATGTTGCAGTTGTACAATACGGACTGAATTTGATCCCATGTGCATGAGTGAGGGCTTACTAGCTTTCATTTCAGTGCTAGAAAGAATATTCTTTTTTGCTTTGTGCCTGTTTTCTGAATTGTTTCTTTCTGCATAATTTCTTAATGTGCCTTCACCACTGTACATAAGCACAGGCTTATCTCTCCTACTTCTGGGTTTTTTAAAATTAAGAATGGAAACAAGATTAGCAGCTTAATTAGTTAAAGTTAGCTATTCTTAAATATGATGGATTTCCTTTTTTAAAAACTAAAACAATATTTTAAAAAATTCAGTAGGTTGCCTAAAGCATACCAACAGATCAATTCTCCTTTCCTTACAAGGAAAGATTATACTCTGAATTGCACTTCTGGTTGGAGTGTCCGACTACAAGACATTGCTTGTTTGTGATCGGCGTCTTAAAATATTGGGTGAAGATTTTCTGAGTTTCTGGTCAGAGTCTCAGGATTTTCCAGTTTCATTGCCTGTGCAGCCTTCCCACAGCCCCATCTAACTGCTGTACAGAATGGCACCCAAGGCCCAATAACAGTCAGTGTTGCATCACCTGCTAGGAGGATGCTGTGGACATGCCTGTTGATATTCAAGGCGAGCATCTTTTGAAAAAGAGCTGTGGCCCTGATTGCCACAAGTCTATATGGGATTTGTAGGGAGTCTGAACTCAGGCCTGGGTCTCAGGAGCTGCCCAGAGTTTAGTGCTCTCGCAAAGGGTTCTCTAGCTGGTGCAATACACGTGGTTATCTAATACTGCTTTATGAGAAGTCAGAGAGGTAAACACCTTGCAAAAAGTATCATATGGCAATGCTCCATAGGGCTTCCATGGCTGCTTTGTGTGTTTTATCCTAGAGCTGCCTAAAATGCAGAAATGACCCTGGAAGATGAGTAGGATCTAGCGTGTTTCTCTGGTACATCATTCTCCGTCCCACTAGACTTGAGTGTTATGTTTTCTCTGGGCCAATGCACCTTCAGTTTGTATCTGAGTAGATGTGAAATGAGAGAGCTGGAAAAGAAAAAGAGGTGGGGGTGGCCAGTGGTAGAGGATGATTATCCTTGTAAAGGTGGCTGGCTGTTTTTTGGAGTATAGTGGGGAATAAATGCGTTTTAGTCCCAGGCAGATGTGAAGATTTCAGTGTCCTCAAATGGCCGGATGATTTTCAGAAACAGAGGTTTAGATTTAGGTACCTATGTTCTTCCAGACTCCCATCAAAGCCTTTTTTTTACTCCAAAGTTTCTCTCTTGCTATTTCTCTGAGTGCAATGCTAGAGCTATGAGGATGCACACTTCAATTTCTGCCCTTTATTAAATGTTTGTCCTGTTTTCCCACTTCTCACTGTGTCAGTGGCTGGTGGGTAGCCCTATGATTGAGAATGGCCTATTGTATTTTTTTGATAGCTGACTAAGATGCCCAGATCTGTACTGGATTTGTATATTTCATCTTTCTTAACTAAATTAAATGTTAAGTCTCTTTACTGAATTATTATCATCCCTCTGCATCTTCCCAAAGAACTTCAATATTTCACCTTGGCCTCTTTTTCAGATAGTAATTTCCCATTAACTGATCTGGATGCAGCCTAATTTCCGATCATATTAAACACGAATGAGAAAACTGCTGACTGTGCAGTCAGAGTTCCTAATCAATAGACTAACCCCATTTTCCATGTAGATCCTTTCTACTCCTTATGGCTTATCTTGTCTGCTTCACAACTTAGTTTTAATTGCCCTTCCTGACCAGCTGGCTGCTGTTATGGTGATGGAACTGCACCATAGTAACAACTCCAGCTACTACTGTGAACAGGCTGCTCTTATAACTTCAGTCAGGTAATAATTCTACACTGAAATGTAGATTGCATTTATGATAGGAAACCAAAGGACTTTTTAATTTGGGTCAAACTGAACTAACAATTATAGCCAAAGGAAAAACAAAATAATAGGAAATTGGGTTTAGTAATGTCAAATTATTAATTTCAGTATTTTCTAAATAAAATGTTCTGACTTTTCATGTCAGGATTGCCCAATGTTTATAGAGGATTTAGGTAATCTGAGAACAAAGCATTTCATTTGATTTGAAACAACCTTTTCTTCCTCACCTGGAAGAAAATCTGTTTCAAAACAAATCAAATGGCGGGGGGCGGGCAGGGAGTATCTTTCTCACAGCAGTGATCATAACCATATCTATTTAATAAGAAAAACAATTTTCTCAATTTTCTAATTTTCCTTCCTTAGTAGTGAAGGGTGTGCATTTTACAAGTCTGGGAAAGTATATTGAAAGAAGCTAGGTGACTTTCTAATACCAGAATAATCACCATTTATTGTAAAGGATTTTCAGAATCACTTCTCTGTGAATAAGTCTACACTTTCTGCAGTCAAAAGCAGTTTGCCCAATGCTGATTCTTTTTAAAAAACACGGTGCAACCAATCATTTTACCAGCGGGAACCTACTCTTCAGAACTTCCATCATAAATCAGACTGATGCAGAATTTTCTGGTTATAAGATGATCTGTTAGATATTGGCCAACTGGTCTATGGTTTCAAAGCTGTTCAGACTGCTGGGAATACTCAGCAGTTC